ACATACGTTTGTGTGTGTGGGTGTGTGTGTGCTTACATCTGAGATCAAATTTGCTACAGTGAAAAACCCCCTGTTGTGAAAAATTTCTTGCTGCAAACATGATTTCGTTGTAGAGGAGTTTCACTGTAGTGGGTTTAACCAAGTGGATTTTGATTTGAATGAAACTTGATGCACTTGCCGATAGTGTTGGCACAACACTAAATCTCAAATTTTAGGTCAATCGAAGCAGAGGCTTGGGAGCTACGGCTCACTGAATTATTTATTTTATTTTTTTGGTGCCTGTTTAAAATTTTCAGATTTTTTTTTTTTTTTGGGGGGGTGGGGGTGGTTGGCATGGAATTCTTTCAATTAACTGTAGCCATGTGGGTCAAAGTACTACAGGCCACTTCAAAGAGGTGGACAAAGGTTAGCTTTTAAGACTAATAAATACCATTGACAGTATTTGTGTTCTTGCTGTTTATACTTTGTGAACAGTTTGGAGATCCCTGTTTTAGTGTACTGTATATTAACCGACATGTCAGCTGTATTACCTACCAAACTGGTGGTATTGGTTCGGATAACTTCCTCGACACTCACAATCTGAGCTTGGGGATTCCACAAGGAACCATATTTGGTCCATTCAATCTCCAAGTGAAGTGACAATGGGATACTGCAAACCTGCGAAGCCTGCAAATGAAAACGGATGGAGTGTTTTGAAGGTTATGTGTAATAAACATGCTAACACAAAGTAGAATCTTGCTTTCTGTATGTATATAAATCATTCAGAGACTGCAAATCAATATTTATAAAATGAATGGAAATAAAATTAAGTTGTTTCAGCACCAGACCCAAGTCCCTTTCATGTGCAGCTGGTGTTATGGAAAAGCAGTGACTTGTCAGAATTCATTACCGAGAGCTCAATATCGTATGAGATGTTATTAACCCTGTATGTCTGCATTAACAAACTGCCAATGAAAATCAGTCTCTTCTCTGTATGGGAGGTGCATATGAATAGGCAGCTTCTTACATAAGCGCCGTTGACTTTTTTTCCTTGAATTTTAACTTCTTTTTTTTTGCCACTGAGCGTTCTTTTTGTGTCATCCTACAATCTAAGCATTTACAGTGTTTTGACAGAGATGTTTTTGGCAAAGAATTAGGACTTTCTTTGCTGCTTGTTATTTGGTTATGTTGTTTATGATGTTCATTTGCAGCCACAATGAGCTAATTTGCTGGTGTACACAACACAATGTTAGAGAGAGGATTGAGAAGCCCAGGAGATTTCAACTGTTCCTCCCATTGTTCATTGAGACCAACACATGGTCAAATCTTGCGCTAAAGGCTTGAACAAACAGCCGGTGCGTGAACATGGAGTGCAACGACTTGGGATAAACCAGGGGTCGGCAACCCAAAATGTTGAAAGAGCCGTATTGGACCAAAAAAAAAAAAAAACCCCAAAAAACAAATATGTCTGGAGCCGCAAAAAATAAAAAGCCTTATCACGTACTCAAGACATGCTGTATGGATCTACAGTATATTAGCTATATTAGCCTACTATCAACATGACTAATTGGCTACAAATACACAATGAGCCTTCATGATTAAATGTTTTTCCCCCCCTGCAGTTCATCCAGTAGAGGAGGGGCGCCCAAACTTTTTTGACGGAAGATCTACTTTTTGAACAACCAACCTCTTGCGATCATACCGTTACCGCACACACGCGCACACTTAAACACGGATGCCGTAATGAGCAACAGCCATAACGGCGGCTAAAATGAACTAGGCACGGGACGCACTTTCACAGTGTTCTATCGTAGCTCAAGTGTACTGTTTAAAAGTGCTTCTCTCGGCCGCCCAGATTCCCATTCTTTGCAAGTACCCTCGATGAATTGCACAAGAAAGGCTGTTTTTTTTTTTTTGCAACAGCCCCCTGACTGATATCCCGCCCTGCAAATAGAAATGTGTGTCGCAGGCTATGACGCAAATTGACGAAATGTTTAAATTTAATATTTATTCGCCACATTTTTACAGCATCAGAAAACGTTAATGTTTGTGTCATGTTTGTCCTCTGACAGAAACCATATTGAAACAAAAAATATATTTCCCTTCATCATCTTTTTCCATTTTCAAACATTTTTGAAAAAGCTCCAGGGAGCTACTAGGGTGCGCTAAAGAGCCGCAGGCAGCTCTTGAGCCACGCGTTGCCAACCCCCGGGTTAAACCAAGACACTGTCGCGAGGGAATCCCACGCCTTTTCCTTAATCCCACGCCAGTCCACAGAATAAAATAGATATAGAACTATAGCCTCGCTGCAACCATCCTCCTCTGCCTTTTCAGCGCAGGGTATTCAAGATGCTGCTTCAATCAATTAAAAAAAGCAATCAATACTTAATTGATCGAGCGCTTTTCATCCAGAAATTGGAATTTATAGAATAAAATCCTTACCAGGCCCCACCCCCACTAGGTCAAACTTGTCACAGTAATACTCACCCAGTCTGCTGGCTCTTGGTTGATTGCGATAGATGTATTGGGCACCCCTGCCCTAAAAACAGGCGCAATTTGCTGACTAGCTTAGCACTTAGCGCCGTTGTCTGCGCATGAGCGGTGATTCAGTCATCTGATTGGTTGCCCTCTATGTCAATCAAGTAACGGGATTGATGATAGGCTGACGTAGTACGTTCTGTGTATTAAGCACTGTTGTTTGAATGGCAAGGCTGTCGCCGAAGCGTTTTCAACAACTGTCATGCGAAAGCCCAGGAGCCGTCGGTTGGCCACCCCTGATGTAATGTGCTACGCGGCAACAAAGAAGCACAGTATCAAAATTTAATATTTGGGTATTTTAGAATTTTATAGTTAATAGTCAACATCATTGCAGTTAACGCAACACAATGTTTGTGACAGGACTTTGTTTGTTGTACGGTCCTAAGTCATGGTTTCATAAAGTGGAATGCATCCATGTCTAATATCTGGCTCAGCATATTCATGGTGAAGGCAGGAACAAACCTCAAGTAAAATGCAGTGTTCAGAATTGTGGGGAATCAATAGACTTTTGTGTAGTGATGCTTTTTCGATGAGATTTCAACATCATTGCAGTTAACGCAACACAATGTTTGTGACAGGACTTTGTTTGTTGTACGGTCCTAAGTCATGGTTTCATAAAGTGGAATGCATCCATGTCTAAAATCTGGCTCAGCATATTCATGCTGGAGGCAGGAGCAAACCTAAAGTAACATGCAGTGTTCAGAATTGTGGGGAATCAAAAGACTTTTGTGTAATGATGCTTTTCCGATTAGATTTTTCATTTCAATTCATAAGTAACTAATCTCTGTATACATACTGTTGTTGACAATCACTCTGATTGGCTGTTAGCCAGCAAATGCCAATCAGTGCATGATATACAAGTTCCATTAATGGCAAGGGAAAAAGGCTTTATCTACTAAATTAAGCTCAGCAAAACCTTGCTTTCTCTTGAACATTGTCCGATGTATGCTACAGAGATGTTGTATGTTGGTTGTAGATATGTGTTGAATTTTGTTTTATGGAACCATGACTGAGGGTGGTATTGAAAAAATGACTTCCGAGTGACGGGAGAGCACCAGAACTGCAAGCATGTACCTTTGTGCGCACTGGACAGTTAGATCTAGCTCTTGATTGTAAATAATTGCGCACTTGCTTGTGTGCATGTGAGTTTTCAGTTTCAAGCAGACTGCGCTTACCCTCTGATTATAGTTGCGCTTGATAGGCACCCAGTCAAGGGAATTATGTAATTCGGAGTTTCCAAATGTAGCAACATATTGGGGGTGGTTTTGTCCTCGCAGAACATCAATAATAATTTGAGAAACCAGGGAGCAGTTGGCTGCTTCCTCCAGTCTGCAGAAGACAGAACACATCCAATCACATAGTGTACACATCTTTTCACTGGAGTGAGGTTAGTGGGTTTGTGCTGAAAAAGTCATGCCTTAATGTGCAGCCAGATATTGAGTCCACACCAAACAAGACAGGAGAACGCTGATGAGGACCATTCATACAGTTTTGGTTTGCGGAAATCGGGAGAATAGACAGTGTGTCTCCAGGGTTTCGCACCATTTCTGTAAGAACAACTGTTAAGGACAATAGAAGGCAAGAAAATTAAACAAGTCATTGTTTCTGATAATACCATTCGTACCCAGTAAAGGATATTGAGCAATTTCTTGTCCAGACAAAATAGGAAGTCCGACGATATAACCGGGATTTCCACTGTAATGGAATGGCACGTTGTTATTCTCCTCCTGTTAAATGACAGTTGGCAACTCAAATCAGTACTTGGTCAAAAAGTAAAAGTGCAGCTTCCATTGCTGATCTCCATTTTGGGCAAGGCGTCATCTCTACCACGTCAACTCTTGTGGTGCAGCACCCTTTGTGCACTTCTTTTATGCTTTGTTCAAACTAATGCAGGGTGAGCATTTCTAGCGGTGCAATTCTCGATATAAAGTAGTTTGTGCGGGGTGGCACGGATGACGTGTGTGGGTGGCGGCATGGCTAAGTGGTCATTTCCCACTACACAAGTGACAGCCCATTTACCTTTTGGAATAGTGGCACACGGGGCCGTGCACGGAAAATCTGCACATTGAACTATTTTTCCGAGTTAGAACATTTTAACTTCTGTCACACATGGCCACACGGCAGCCAACCGGCTTCAGCAACGTACTATGCCACACACAGAATCCGGTACAGACGGATTTTGTGTGGAGATTTGAGAACAGTGGTGGGGAAAATAACAATTGCAACCTGTAGTCATCACGGAGCGTGACAACACGTACAGCTACCAATTCCGGGACAGAATAGTGACCAAACAAGCTCGCATTTAGTACCTAGTCAGTGTTTTTAGCTCAGGGGTGTCAAACTCATTTTTGTCACAGGCCACATTGTTGTTACGGTTTCCCTTGGAGAGCCGTTATGACAGAATTTTCTGAAACAATCTAAATGTTTAACCACGTCCACATATTAGGACCTGGCAGCACCCTCCCAATGGTGTATGACTGTGTGTGTGAATGGGTGAACGAGCACTTTGGGCATCAGATGGTGTCGATAAAAGCGCTATTTAAGTGCACTTGATTTACCACTGACTGTACCAAGAAGTCTGTCTGCAACAGGCAGTGGCTGAAAAAACAAAGACTGCTTTTATGTGAATATTTTGTTCAACTCATAGGGGCCAGCTCTTATAGTATACAGTAAATATTCTCTAGTGCGGACTCGTGTTTGCGCTGTCCAATTTGTCCTGATAACAGAAATTTGTAGTGACTTCTGTGTACATAATTCACCACCAACTGCAAATGTGTGAATGCAATGTTCATATGCTTGTCAGAGAGTTCACGATTATTTGGTAACGGGGTAGAAATAATTGCAGTCCCTTTAAGGACCGCCATTTTAGTCTGCTTGTTTCTATGGAAACTTACTTTCGGCGGGCTTCGTTT